TAGTAGATGGGGGGCTGGGGTATTGGGTTGGGTGGTGAGAATATTTTGAGGAACTTTTAAAAGTTATGATGAAAGGGGGCAGTTTAAATTTTTTGCACTGGCCAAGGAGGTATAAAATTTTTAGGAGGGAAGAAGAGAAAGGGTGTGAGTGTGGGGAAGGTTGGGCCGGAAAAGGCATTTTCATTGAACGAAAAGGGGGGGGGTTTAAAACAGTGGAACTGATGGGATCATGGGCGAAATGTTAAAAGCAAAAGGGGGGAGATTAGTGTTGGAGTGGGGGGGGTTTCTTTTGTTTAATAAAATTTTATGAAAGAAAGGGGGAATTTTACCTGGGGGTTGAAAGAGGAATGTTTAGTTTCCCTTTTTATAAAGGGAAAAAAAGGACAAAAGAGACTAAAAATTTTAAGGGGAAAAAGGGTTTTCTGGGGGATACCCGGAAAAGTTTTATGGTAGGGTTTGGGTTTCCCGAAAGGGAAATTTGAGGTAAGACGAGAGTTTGGATTGCAGATGAGCAAAGGGGGGTATAGAGTGGGGAGGGGATGTGTAGACAAGTGTTTTCATTTAAGAATTTTTACTGAAAAGGGGTTTTTACTTTAAAGTTTGGGGAAATTTTCATTGATTTATGGATTTTTGAAAAAAGGCCCTATGAAAATTTGTGGATGAGGGAAAAAAAGTGGCAGATGTAGTTAAAATTAATAAATGCTGTAATGAGTTTTTATGGGATAGTGAAAGGGTTTAAAGGGTTTTTGGGGGTTTTTTGTGAGAAAAGAGAGAGACTACTTCTTTGGTTAAAAAGTAGGTTTAGAAGGGATGGTAATGTCCCCCATGGTTGTTTAATATTTTTTTTAAAAATGGGGTTTTTTTAAAAAAAGTAAATGCTAGGGTGTTCGGGAGAGGGGGGGGTTTTTTAAAATTTTGGGAAATCAAATACAAAAAAGGGAGTTGACAAGTTATGTTTTGCGGTGATTTCCCGTGCCCTTTTGGGAGATTCTAAAGAAAAATTGCAAAGGGGAGTGGAGGGGTTTGGGAGGGTGTGTAAAGGTAGAAAGTTGAAAGTGAACATAGATAAGAGTAAGGTGATAGAGGGTATCAAATGATTTAGATAAAGAAAAATTGGATATCACATTGGAGAGAGGGAGTATGGAAGAAATGAATGTTTTCAGATATGTATTTGGGAGTTGACGTGTCAGTGGATGGATTTATGAAGGATGAGGTTAACCATAGTACTGGTGGAGGAAAAAAGGTGAGTGGCGCATTGAGGTATATGTGGAGACAAAAAACGTTATCTATGGAGGCAAAGAAGGGACTGTATGAAAGTATAGTGGTACCAACACTCTTATATGGGTATGAGGCTTGGGTTGTAAATGCTGCAGCAAGGAGGCAGTGGAGATGTCCTCTCTAAGAGCAATGTGTGATGTAAATATTATGCAGAAAATTCAGAGTGTGGAAATTAGGAAAAGGTGTGGAAATAAAAGTATTAGTCAGAGAGCTGAAGAGGGGTTGTTGAGGTTGTTTGGTCATTTAGAGAGAATGGATCAAAGTAGAATGACATAGAGAACATATAAATTTGTAGGGGAAGGAAGGCGGGGTTGGGGTCATCCTCGAAAAGGTTGGAGGGAGGGGGCTGTATAGTCCTTGTGGCTTAGCGCTTCTTTTTGATTATAATAATAATAATGGAGGGAGGGGGTAAAGGAGGTTTTGTGGGCAAGGGGCTTGGACTTCCAGCAAGCATGCGTGAGCGTGTTAGATAGGAGTGAATGGAGATGAATGGTTTTTGGGACCTGACTAGCTGTTGGAGTATGAGCAGGGTAATATTTAGTGAATGGATTCAAGGAAACCAGTTATTTTTATATAGTCGGACTTGAGTACTGGAAATGGGCAGTACAATACCTGCACTTTAACCCTTAAACTGTCCAAACATAGATCTAAGTTCACTCGCTTAGCGCTCCGAATATTTTGAAAAATAATGAGGTGTCAGCAACACAGAGCACTGCTGCTTGCAGAAACAATAAACATTTATCATTTTTTCCAATTCTTTTCTATTTTTTGTTGTTTTCATGTTGTGATAATAATGTTTTGTTGCAGATCTTTTGATTTCATAGCCAATTCTTGTTGAGACACAAATATTTGGTATTGAATTAGTAATCACACTCTCACAAACACACATATTCACACTGATAGATGAATTTGTACACTGGGTTCAATCACATACTATTATTTACATATATATATACAAGGTATTTACAGGTCCCATTTATGATTCTAGAAGTCCACCACTGTATGATACTCCAAGAAGCATGGATTCATACAAAGTGCCACCCCACATTGCTGACACATGTATCGTGTGTCTTTTCCCATTTGGGGTCGCTGTGTAGTGTAAGCATGCACAACACACTTTTTCTGAGAGTACTTCTTCTTTGGAGTAGATGGTAATGGTATCAGGCAGTGACAGTTAGGGTTTTATTCGGTCGGGCACTTCCACCTCTTCTTGTGGAGTGACAGGTCGCTGTTGTGGGGTGACAGGTCGCTGTGGAGTGACAGGTATAGGTGTGGTACCATACTGTTTCACTATCTGCTTGATGACACTGAGGGTAAATTCCGCACATGTTGAAGGCATTGAGCATTGCAATGTCTACAAGGTGGAAAAACACTTTTATATACCACTCCTACACACGACTAACACTACACGACTCCTACACACGCAGTTAACAAACCCTATCATCCTGTCACGCTTGTTGACTAGTCGCATATTGTACGTATAGTCGATGACAGCAGCTGGCTTTATAATAGGTTCATTGTTGTACTTGCTCAGTCTGTTTGTACCATCTCATTTCTGTGGATAGTTGACAGCAACGTCACGTCCCATTTGTCATGCCATGTCAGTGAACCTTAGCATGTGTTTTCTACTTTTTCTCACTGTTCCACATATATCAATATTGTTCACATGTAGGAAATCAGCAAGCATAGGGCTTGTATACCAGTTGTCTGTGTACAATGTATTATGGCCTTTGCCAAGGTATGGCTGCATCATCTTGTGAACAACATCCCCAGAAATGCCCAACATGCGCCTGGTATCGTCGAGTGTGTTTTTCCTTGTGTAGATAATGACATCCAGCACAAGACCAGTCTCACAGTCACACATTACAAAGAGTTTTATACCAAAGTGATTATGTTTTCTTGGTATATATTATTTGAATAACAGTCATTCCTTGAACAGAATCAAGGACTCGTCAACAACAATATTCTTGAATGGATAAAAGTAGGCACTGAATTTTTGCTTCAGATACACAAACAATTCCCTGATTTTGTATAGGAGGTCATTTCAGTTTGGTGTATTTTTGTCTGAGAAGTGCAACATTCATAGCAACAGAGTGAATCTGTTGCAGGGGAGGAGGTCACGGAAGACTGGAGTACTGATGAAGTGGCCTGTAGACCAGTATTGTGCTATATTGTTCTTATACTTGTGTGGCACAAGCACGATTGTGCCAAGGAATAAATACATTTCAGCCATAGTTGTATCTTTCAACCTGCACAGCCGTGACGATTCTGAAACATCTATGTGGTCCATTGTATACTGGTAGTACATGTTGGTCTGGGTAACAGTCAGGCTAATTATCGGTTCATCAAAGTATAGTTGGAAATAGTCTAACTCTGTAGACTCATTTGTGATGGGACAGTTTGGCATGGTACCACTTCCACTGGCATCAAAATTGAAAGGATGTGGCATGAATGGTGTACTTTCTGTCCATTTCCATTTGTAGTCAGATGGTGCAGGGTGGACCTGTGGCATGGGGCGTGGGGGAGCAGAAGGGGGAACGGGAGTGGAGGCAGCACACAGTTGAGAGGGTGCCGGGCAGTCCTTTGTCTGCCCACCCACTGCCCCATGAGGTCCAGGGACCATGCCACCAACCTCCTCTTCCTCCATCCCAGCATATTCACTTTCATGATCACTATCACTAGCTGGGGTTTTGGATTGTGACCTGCCACGACCCTTGCTGCCGACTATATATGGCACACTGCCTGAACATAGGTTACAACGCTTAAAAGTACGTTTCACTGAGGAATAATGATAATCGCTGACAATGATGAATCCTCTATGGGCATAAAATTGATTTCATCATTGTCACTTATATCACTTTCACTATCGTCATCACCATAACGCTTGGAAAATGATAATTTCCTCTTGCGGAGTTGCCTTTAGGTAGTAACACTAGCAACCCCAGAGGTGTTTGGCTGAGGGTCATCTGGGTTATCATCAACAACTTCACTAATTCCTTGAACATTAGTGGCTATATCGGTGCCAAATTCACTAACCTTGAGTTCTGTTACACTTTCTGAGAATAGTAGTGCTAATACGCTGAGACATGAGTGAATCATGGGGGTTTGCCATGATGTTAACCCAAGATGGAGCTGAAACTAACTGGTGCTACCATGCGGTACCCCAGTGTCAGCGAATTTTTTCATACTGCGCACACTTAGGGCGCAGACCCATTCTCTCGTGTCCAGGAGACTCAGGCCTATCATGCCAAATTTGAAGGAATGAAAAATAAAATGTTGATCTACGTTTGGAGCGCTATGCGTGCAAACGTAGATCTACGTTTGGACAGTTTAAGAGTTAAAGGAAGGGTTTGGGATATTGGCAGTTTGAAGGGATGTGTTATACAGTGGACCCTCAACTAATGGTGGCATTAAATAATAGCAATTTCGTCTAATGGCACATTTTGCTGTAAAAAAAAAGTGTCTCCAACAACGGTGAAAAGCTCTACCAACGATGTTCGTCCAGAACATGTCCATGTGCCAGGAGTGCGGCCTGAGTAGGCCTAGCCACTCCAAGACTGTGTGCCATTGTTTACAAGTTGTTGCGGTCGGTTTCCATGTGTTTCTCCTATTTATTTTGGATTATTCCACTGCTTTTAGTGCTTGTAACGTCTAAATAAGCCACCTTGGGCCCCAAGAAAGCTTCTAATGCCAAGCCTGTGTTAAAAAGGGTGAGAATTACGATGGAAATGAAGGAGATCGTTGAAAAATACGAGAGTGGAGTCCATATGGCCGAGTTGGAAAGGCAATACAACAAATCACATTCAACCATCAGTACTATCTTGGCGAACAGATAGGCAATCAAGGAAGCTGTTGTTGTGAAAGGTTCAAGTATGTTTTCAAAACAGAGACCGCAAATAACTGAAGAGCTGGAGAGACTGTTATTGGTATGGATAAACGAAAAACAATTATCAGGTGATAGTGTTTCTCAGTCTATAATTTGTGAAAAGGCAAGGAAGTTCCATGATGATCTCATTAAGAAAATGCCTCAAAATAGTGCTGCTGCTGATGAATTTAACCCTTTGAGGGTTGAGAGGCCCTCTCCTAAACTCTTTCTTAGGGTTGAAAATTTTTCGGAAAAAAAAAATCTTATGAAATGATAGAGAATCTTTTCCCGATCATAATGACACCAAAAGTATGAAATTTGATGGAAAACTTATGGAATTATGCTCTCGTGAAGTTAGCGGTCTGAACGATGTTTACGCATCAGCGATTTCGTCCATTTTGAGCCCTATTTTCGGCCAATTTTAGTGTACTAGTCGATAAAAATCATATCTATTTCACTAGAACTCCATTTTTTCTATCGAATGAGCACAAGAAACCACCCATTTACCGATTTCAAGTATCCAACAAAGTGGTCAGAAATTGGCAATTTTGCCAACTTCACACAAATTTCAGAAAATGTCAATTTCCAAATAGGGTCCAGAATAAACAAGACAGACATTCCTGGCACTAAAATAACATTTTCTCTATTCATTAGTCACGTCCCCAGGCCCCTCTTACATCTCTCTTGCTTTCCACTTTGAATTTTTATTCTCAAAAAATAGAAGAGTTACTGTTATGCAGACTACTGCATTAGTGTAGAAATGGTATAAATAATATCAGAGCACTTGTGAAAGAATATTAGACTCACCAGTTGACGTGTATTGGACACTTGGCATGATTTGTTTACTTTTGAAATTTGGTAAAAATCGAACATTTCTGCTACTTTGAGCTCAATTTCAAGGTACTTTTCATTATGAAACCAACTAAAATTATCTCAATTTCTGTAATAAGTCTTCCATTCTATAAAATGAGACCAGGAAAACTAGAATACAACCATAAATACCATACGAAAATACAGTGCAAAGTCACTGTTTTAAACCAAAAACATGGTCGGAGTTTTTTTTTTCTCATTATGCACTGTGTGCTGCAGGATTTTTTTTATACTGTGTACACTGACCACATAGACCCATTCTTTCATATGTAGACCTACCAGCTTTCTTTCACTAGATTTGAAGGCGCTAGAATTTAGGCATTCTAGGACATCAATAACCCTGGTGCATAAGCCATACTAGTACGGCAGAAACCCTGAAAGGGTTAAGGCCAGCAAAGGCTGGTTTGAGAGATTTAAGATTCGTAGTGGCATACACAGTGTGGTAAGGCATGGTGAGGCATGGTGAGGCAGCCAGTTCAGACAAAAATGTGGCTGAAAAATATGTGAAGGACTTTCAAGAATACATAGACTGAAAACTTAAAACCTGAACAAGTGTTTAATTCTTCCAAAACAGACCTGTTTTGGAAGAAAATGCCAAACAGGACCTACTTTACTCAAGAGGAAAAGGCACTCCCAGGACATAAGCCTATGAAAGACAGGCTGACATTAATGTTGTGTAGTAATGCTAGTGGTGATTGCAAAGTGAAGCCTTCATTGGTGTATCACTCTGATACTCCATGTTTTCAAGAAAAGCAATATCATTAAGGGTAATTTGTGTGTGCTGTGGAGATCAAACAGTAAGGCATGGGTCACTAGGGAATTTTTCTTGGACTGGTTTTATGGTGTGTTTGGCCCCACTGTGAAATATTACCTCCAGGAAAAGAAATTGTCACTCAAGTGCCTCCTGGTAATGGACCATGCCCCTGCTCATCCTCATGACTTGCAAGAGGAAATTGCAGGGGAGTTTGGTTTCGTTAAGGTGAAGTTTTTGCCTCCTAATACAACTCTCCTCCAGCCCATGGACCAGCAGGTCATTTCAAACTTCAAAAAAATCTACACAAAAGCAGTGTTTCAAAAGTGCTGTGAAGTGACCTCAGACACTCAATTGGCCCTAAGAGAGTTTTGGAAAGATCACTTTAATATCCTCAGTTGTGTAAACCTTATAGGTAAGGCTTAGGAGGGAGTGACTAAGAGGGCCTTGAACTGCTTGGAAGAAACTGTGGCCAGAATATGTAGAACAGAGGGATTTTGAAGGGTTTGGGGCTAACCCTCAGGAGGATATGCCAGTAGTGGAAGCTATTGTGTCATTGGGGAAGTCCTTTGGGTTGGAGGTTTGTGACGAGGATGTGGAAGAGTTGGTGCAGAACAACGAGGAAGAACTAACCACTGCAGATCTGCAAGAGCTTCAGGTGCAACAGCAACAGATCACATCTCAGGAATGTTCTTCAGAGCAGGATGAAGAAAGATGGAGGAAGATGATTTTGTCAAGGATTAAGGAAATGTGTTCAATGTTTATAAAGGTGCAAGCATTTATCAATGAATTTTATCCTGTCACAGGAGTTGCAAGCCGCATTGGCAACACGTACAATGACACTCGTGTCTCATTTTAGGGAAATCCTAAGGGCATGTGAGAAACAGAGCTCTCTGGACAGATATTTTGTGCGGCAAGGGTCCAGTGACTCTCAAGCTGGTCCTAGTGGCATTAAAAAACCAAGAAGGGAGGTAACCCCATCAAAGGACTTGGTACCTGAAGTCTTTATGGAAGGGGATTCTCCTTCAAGCAATAGACAATCCTGAATCTCCCCTGCTGCTGGCACATCACTCAACAACTCCACAATAAAGGTAAGTGGCATTTAATTAATGCTTATTTTGCATGTCCCATTCTTTTTGGTGTAAGGAAATGTATATTTCATGTAAAATTTTTAACTTTAAGATTTTTCTTTTCAGACTTTGGAGTGTAAGGAACGGATTAATTCTATTTCCATTATTTCTTATGGGGAAAATTAATTCGACCAACGGCAAATTCGACTAACGGCAAGCTCTCTGGAACGGATTAATGCTGTTGGTTAAGGGTCCACTGTATATCTTTATATATGCTTCTATACTGTTGTATCTGGGCACCTCTGCAAAGACAGTGATTATGTATGAGTGAGGTGAAAGTGTTGAATGATGATGAAAGTATTTTCTTTTTGGGGATTTTCTTTCTTTTTGGGTCACCCTGCCTCGGTGGGAGACGGCCGACTTGTCGAAAAAAAAAAAATTAAGTAATGTATTAGACACTCGCTGGGTCACCATCTGGAAAAGACTCTTGCCAACACAGTACCAGCAAGCCTGCTACTTGCTACTATCAGACACTTCAAATGTCGTGTAGGTGGGGTAGAAAGAATGAGTAAGTGAAAAAGAAAGGAAAGATGCTGAGAATGTAAACACAGACAAACATGTATTAATTCCTGTATGTGTACGGTTGGTTTATACACGCTAACCCCTTTACGGTGAACTACTTTTGTACTTCTATTCTTTCCTCCTCTACTCGTACAAGCTAGAAAGAGAAAAAAGAAAAGGAAAGAATGGAAGAAGTACAAAAGAAGTTCACTGTCAAGGGGTTAGTGATGCATCTCAGCATCAAGCAGTCTCCAAGATGACATATTTCATCTATAAATTTGTACTTTATTGTGCACCCCACATTACAAGATAGAAGTGCAGCAGCACTTGGAAGAGGAAAATGGAAGAAGTACAAAAGAAGTTGACTGTAAATTTTGTCTGTGTGTTTACAATCCTGGCATCTCTCTTTGGTACTAAGAAATGAAAACCCTTTCGGGTTCGGCAGGCCCTCTCCCAAATTTTTCCCTTAGGTCGGTAAAATTCAAAAAAAAAAAAATTTTTTCTTAAAAAGATATTTTTTTTTTTTAAAAAATTTTATGGGTTTAAAAAAAAAATTTTTTCCATTAAAACTTACCGAGATAGGGAAAGCGTGAATTTTGACAAAACAGAACCGCAAAAAGGCAACATTGCCGACTGCGGGTTCACCCGGAAATAGTTTATTTTTTTTTTTTCCTATTTTTTTTCCTTGTATTTTTTTTTAATTTTTATTTTTTAAAGTAACTTTTAGGGCCTCTGAGCCCAAATTTTCTAAAACTTTTTTTTTTTTCAACAAGTGGGCGACCCCCCCTCCCACCGAGGAAAGGGCCCCAAAAAAAGAAAGAAAATCCCCAAAAAGAAAATACTTTCATCTTTTCAACACTTTCACCACCCCTCACATATTACACTGGTTTTGGGCAGAGGTGCTCAAAATTACAATTTTTTAGAACATACACATATAAAGTACACAACATATCCCCCCAAACTCCCTTTCCCAAATCCCTCCCTTTAAAGTGGGGGGCATTGTATTTTCCCATTTCCAAGACTCAAGCCCCGACTATAAAAAAAAACCCGGTTTCCCCCTAATCCCTTCCCCTAAATTTTAACCCCCCTCATTTCCCCCAACAGATCGTCAGGTCCCTTTTTACCATTGGGCTCCATTCACTCCTATCTAACTTTCCACCACGCTTGCGGGAAAAGCCAAGCCCCTCCCCCCCAAAAAACCTCCTTTACCCCCCCTCCCCCAAACCCCTTTCGGGGGACGCCCCCCTCCCCCTTTTCCTTCCTTCCCCTAAAGTTTTTATATGTTTTCCAGGGTCTTTCTACATTAAACCCTTTCTCTCTAAATGCCCAAAACCCAAACCTAAAACAACCCCTCTTCTCCCCCTCTGACTAATACTTTATTTTTAACCCCAAAAACACCTTTTCCAAATTTTCCCACACTCCAAATTTTTCTGCAAAAATTTTTTACACCACACATTCCCCTTAAACAGGACACTCCACTGCCTCCAACCGTCTCCTCGCTGCTGAAATTTACCACCCAACTTCAAAATCCAAATAATTTTTGGTACTCCCTATATTTTCATACATTCCCTTCTTGCCTCCAAAATAACTTTTTTTGACTCCACTTATACCTCAACGCACCACTCATTTTTTTTTCCCTAAACATTCTAGTTTAAACCTCATCCTTCATAAATCCCCCGCGGACACATCAACCCCCAACATCTAAAAAACTTTAAATTTTCCTTTACTCCTCCTCCCAAATTTGATATCCAATTTTCTTATCTAAATCATTTGATACCCTCAAAAACCTTTTAACACTTTTCTATGTTCACTTTCAACTTTTTTCCCTTTTACACACTTTTTTCCAAACTAAACCCACAAAAACCTTTTTGTAAATTTTTTCTTTAGAATCTCCCCAACAAGCACATAAAACATTAAAATAACTGTGTAAAATTCCCCCTTTTAAAATTTGATTCCCCAAAAAAAAATTTAAAACCCCCCTTTCCCCAAAAACCCAAAGCATTTACTTCTTTTACAACCCCATCTTTTAAAAAAAATTAACCCCTTCGGGGCCAAAGGGTTTCCCAAATCTAAAAAGGAAAGAAAAACTTTTTGTAAGGTAATAAAATAAAAAGTACGAAATTTGATGGAACTTTGACGAATTTTATGCTTCGTTCGCGAATTTTAATTTTGTCAGCGATATTTACGAATGGGGCAAATTTTGCCGACTTTGACTCCCTTTTGGGCCAAAATTAAAATTATTCCAGTAACCCAAAATTTCCCTTTGCTTTTTCACTAAAATTCTTCTTTTCCTATCTTTGAACACAAGAAAATCGCCAATCACCTGTTTCAACTAAAAATTTAAAAAAGTAATCAAAAATTAAAATTTTTTGGCCCCAATTTAACAAAAAGTTCAAAAAATTCCAATTTAAAAATAGGGCCCAAAAAATAAAAAATGTAGGTTTTTTCCGGAACAAAACCTAACATTTTCCTCTGTTCATTATTGGTTTTGGGGGGAGGTTTTTACAAAAAAATTTTCCAATTTGTTTTTTTTATTCACAAAAAGGAATTTTTTATTCAAAACCAAAAAAATAAAATTTACTGTTATGAAAATTTCCCCTGTTTTAATTGTATAAAATCATCACCATTTTTTGTGAATGCATTTTAAACCCACCAGCGGCGTGTATTAGATTTTTGAGGTCTTTTGTTTTAACTTTTGAATATGGGCCCAAAAAATTAACATTTCGCAACTTTGAGCCCCTTTTCCCAAGCCATTTCCAGTGCAAAAACCCAATAAAAATCATCTCATTTCTTTTAATATGTTTTTCCATTCTAAAAAATTGAGACCAAGAATCGCCAAATAGAACAAAAAAAAACCATACGAGAAAACACTGCAAAGTCCGTTTTTTAAATTTCAAAAAATTTAAAATTTTTTCATTTTTTTTCCCTCTCTTTAAATAAAACCGCGTGCGCAGGACCCTTTTTTATGTGGGGGCACAAAATACCAAAAAAAAGTTTTTCTCATTTTTAAGGCCCAAATGTGCCACTCCCCCAAGGTTTTTTCAAGTGACCGATTTTCATGACGTAGATCAAACGTTTGGACCCTAACTAAAGGCCGAAGATTTTACGGGATGGACCCCTAAAAGGGGTTAAAACGCTTTGACTTTTTTCGGGCCCCCTCCTAAAACTGAAAATCTATGCCCCAAATTTTTCAAAAAAAAAATTTTTTTTATCTTTAAAATGTTAGGAATATTTTTCTGATTTTTTTAAAACCAAAAATTTTTTTTTTGCCATCAGTACTTACTGAGATAAGACCGCAAAGTTTTGTAAAAGTGCGTGCGTATGGCAACAGGGGCCCCCGAAAAAAACGGGGCGCCCAAACCCCCCGGGAAAAATTACTTTTATTTACCCCTAATTCAAAGTTTTTTCTTGAAATTTTTCAATTTTTTTTCCTTCCGGGAAAACTTATGTGGCCTGTGAGACCAAGAAAGGTGCATTTTCAAATATACACTCATTGTTTCCCAAACACAATACAAAAACCCAAACTTTATCACTATTATTTTTTGGTGTATACAACTTTTTTACACAAACAAAAAATTACAAAAAAATGTTTTTACAAATTTTTTCCCAAATATATATACTTTTATTACAGTCACAAAAAACTTCCCCAAAGCCCGGGTTTAAATTGGGGGAACCCCTTTGGGAAACAGGGGTAAAAAGGAAAGAGGGAAACTTGCCCACCCTCACACAAAAAAAACATGTCTCCTTTGTTTGTGGGCGTTTTGTGGTAGGGCATACAAAACAAAAACACCTCTTCTGACTTTTTTTCTTGGCAGTATTTAGGGCAGTTGAAATGGGGTAGTGATCCCCAAAGGCCAAAAACACAATAAAGGGGTTTTGGGGAAATTTTTTTTGGGCGCGGGTCTACGGGCATTGTTTCCCCGGGAACTTTGAAATTTTTTTTGGGTCTGATTCCGAAAAGGGAAAAATTCTCATTTTTTGGGTGTTTTGTTGGTCCAACTTGTATATGTTATAAGCTTTCAGCATAGAAAATATCAACAAGAGGAAAAAAAGTTTTATTTTCCCATTTTAAAAACTTTTTGCGTAAAACACGCAAACCCAATTCATGTCACATTTGTCCATTTAAGCGCATATTGGGGTTTGTAGTCCAGACAGCTGCAGGCTTTAGAATGGATTTCTTTGGTCTCTCGGGTTTGTCCCTTTCCACTTTTGGTACCATTTCATTTCGGTAATTTGAGTAAAATAATTTGCCCTCACTTTTTGTCTGCCACCAAAGGGTCATAAATTTTTTTGGCAGAAAAGGGTTTGCACCCCACCTCGCGAGTGCCAGCGTTAAAACCTTTTGGCATATGTTTTACAAATTCCCGGACGCACTGTGCCAAAACACTCTTTAAAAAGGTTCAAAACGAAAGAAATAAACTGAGTAAGGGGCTTGGGGACCATTTTTATCATAAATAACATATGCCCCTTAAACCCAAAATATGGTTCCATCATGGGTTTGAACCATATCACCAGGATACCCAATAACTTCATGGTACTCTCAAAGTATTACCGGCCCTGTACACAATGAAATCC